GGTCCTTATGAGACCGGACTACGGGTAATGACACATCCCCTATGTTGTACGTATTAACCTTTGAATCCCCCAAGTGCATGTAGACACACTTTTCCGAGTTGATAGGCATTAGCCACTCTTTAGACCAGTTTATCATATTATTTAAGTCCGCCTGAAGAGTAAATGCGTCTTTGTCTCCAGTTATTACTCGCCAAATTTTTACATCGTCAGCGTATAATAACATTGGAGACTGTACTATACTTGTAAGATCATTAACGTACATTATAAAAAGTAAAGGACCTAAGACGGAACCTTGGGGTACTCCACTAAGTACTGGTCTCCAGATGGAGCACTTGGAATTTATTCTTACTTTTTGCCTACGACCTACTAGGAAATCCTTAATCCATTTTAAAAGAGGTCCGGCAATACCAAGGTTTGCCAACTTCAATAGCAGCCTATTAGTTGGCACCTTGTCAAAAGCCTTACTGAAGTCTATGTAGACAACATCCACTGAGTTTCCGTTGTCTAGCGCATTAATCCAGAGCTCCCTAGCTATAAGGAGGTTCGTTGTACAGGATAGACCCTTTCTAAAACCATGTTGTGCCATGTTCAGCAAGTTATTGGTTTCCATAAATGCTGTTATGGTCCGTTTGATTATTCTTTCCAGTATTTTAATTACAACACTGGTGAGGCTTACGGGTCTGTAATTTGATGGAACTTGTCGTGGACCTGTTTTATGTATGGGAGTGACGATTGCGTCCTTCCAGTCCATAGGTAACACACCTTGGTCAAGTGACATTTTGAATATCACAGTCAGTGGGGCTGCGATATATTGGGCAATATGTCTCAAGATTTTAGGGTGTAGTTCATCTGGTCCTGTTGACTTCTCCATGTTTAGGGTGCTAAGAGCCTTAAGCACATCGTTTTGGTCGAAGTCCACGGTGAGCAGCTGGTTTGTTGACTCTGTAATTGGGTCTGGTTCTTTCTCTAGAGGAGGTTCCTGAGTGAAAACTGCCCCAAAGTAGTCAGCCATAACCTCAGCTTTTTCCTGATCTTCCTCTATCATTTCAGATTCACTTCCTACTTTAATTAGGTTGGGAATCCAATGATGAATCCTTGTTCTGTAGTTTATGTACGAGAATATCCTCTTGGGCTGCTTGAGTGCAGATTCTGCCAGCTGCATTTCATATTTTCTTTGCGCTTCCCGAATTTTAGTTATACACTCGTTTCTTATCGATCTGTAACGTTCCATCGTACCCGCTGTGCCAAGGCGGATGGCAACATCCCAGCATTTCTTCTTTTGTCTTAGTAAGCGTCGAATATCCCGCCCTATCCAGGGATGTCCGTGCTTCTTTTTCTTTGGGACAGTCCAGGGTATGTATGGTTGAGTTACCCGATTGTATAACTGCCTGAATAGAGTCCATGCCTCTTGTACTGATGCCTTTGAGTCAATTTCCCAGTTCTCAGCCGATGCTGCGGAGTTAATTGCCTGCATATCTGCCTTCCATATGTTAGGACGGGCCGGCGCAATTGTTTGACAAGCAATCTCAGCCATGAATTTGAATAAGATGACTGCATGGTCACTTCTCCCAAGTGGTGGGAGAAAAGCCGTTTGACCAACGTCATCACCGTGTGTGAAGACTAAATCTAAAAGAGAAGAGTTTCTTAAGTCGTATCTTGTGGGATCTCTAATGTGTTGGAATAATGCTAGTCCAATCGAGGTTTCTAACAGTTTGGAGTCGAACGACGATATGGATGACCCTACTTCTAAGTTAACCCAGTTTATATATGGTGCATTAAAGTCGCCTACTACAAGGCTTTTACCGTTGTTACACCAGGACTTAAGTTTACTAAGGAGAAAATCATCTGCTACACATTCTGGACTGCGATAAACTACAACTACTTCAATATCTTGCCTTCGGCATTTCAACTTACATCTCACCAGTTCACATGTCCCTGAAACATGTGCTACTGTCTCAGCTAATCTTATGGTTAGGGTACTTTTGGTGTACAAATAACCCCGCCTCCCCTTCGGTTTAATCTATCAGCCCTACTGGTTATGAAACCAGTCAATTGGATTTCACTATCTAATACTTCTGACGTTAACCAAGTTTCCGAGACAGCGATAACGTCCGGTTTTTCTTTGTCCACCACTGACTTCAGCTCCGCCATTTTATTTAGTAGGCTGCGAGCATTTGTGTAGCACACTTTTAAGTCTGTGGAGAGCTTTCCCTTGCCACCCAGAGTGGCTTGGGGATCGTTTTGCTCCGAACTTTTACAATCTGAAAACCCTTAAGAACGAGGTTTCTTTCACCGTTTCGGCGACGCTCGTTTATTTCCGCTTCTGCAGCTCTTCTCTTAATACGATCAGCTAGGCTGAGGTCCTCACGGACATATATTCCGGATCCAATCAGTTTACGTGAATTACTTAGAATCAGGTTCCTTTCTTCCACCGTGTTGAATGTAACCTTTAGGAGGCGGTTTTTCTGAGGACTTTCGGAATCCACCTTTTTTCCTATTCTATAAAGCTTACAAATACTAACTCCTGAAACTGTATCTGGGAGTAGTTTACTTAATGATGTCTTAATATGATTGAGATCATGTTCAAATCTTGCCTTTGGTTCAGTATCTGAAGATTCTCTTATCTTATGAAAAATGACTGATCTATCAGAGAGATCTGTCTTTTCACGCGGTGAGGATTTTTCTTCTGATAACATCCCTTCCAATGTTTTGCTGACCAGCTGCGTTTTGCCTACAGCCTTTTTCTTCTTATTTTTTTCTTCTTACCGAAGTCCATTTGTCACCACTCAGAACAGCCACACCTGGACTATGTGGAACGGTGACAGTTTTATCCGGATCTTCTATTTCGACTAGAGGTGTATGACTGCCGATGTCATTATCAAGCGACACTTCATTTCTCGTTAATGTCAACGGAGATTTCACGTTCCCGTCAACCGCAGTCAGGTGTTTAATGGGTCCAGTAGCAGCACTTACTACACTGACACATTCTTCATCGTCAGTGCTCCTGTTATCAGTGCTTCCGCCATCATTTTTCTTGCAGGCCAAAGCCAATAGGCCCATAGCCTCCTGTATTAGTACCTTTTTATCCGTACAGCAGAACATACAAAGCCAATGCGAGTTAGGCTTCGAGCATCTTTTGTAAGCCGTCGGACTTAGTCGTGTACACATTTTGTGATACCACTTTTTACAGTCGTCACACTGCATTCCCTCCTCAACGGAGAACAAACAATTTGGTTGCCCACATTTGTGAGTCTTACCAACCATTGTAATTCGATTTAAAAGGTTTAAAAACAAAAAATGATAACAATAAAAAAAAAAAAAAAAAAAAAGGACTAAAAACAGGTACTCAGGACAAAATTTAGTAAAAAATTTCAAACTTTAACCAAAGAACTCTTAGTTAAAGTAGACCAAGAATGCTTTTTAGTGCAATAAGTACCAAAAGCAAGTATAATCACAACAAGTACAAAAATCACTGCCCTTTTTGAAACTATATTGTTTCTACTGTCTGTCTAATTGAAGTTCACACAATCATTGTCACGGTAGGCGACATGACGCTGAATTCATTCTTTATTTTCACTTAAATTGGGAATTTCAAGAGTTCCACATGCTTTGTTTTGTGAATTTCTTCTCCATCTTCGAAGCATTCTCCGTATCAAATCTTTCCTTATCATTATTATTACTACTAACTTTATTTCAACTACTTTGCTATTCTTCTTTATCTTGCTGAGTTGATGTCATGTGATAACATGAGCTGATGGACATCTGTAGCCGGTCGTATGTTGATTACGACTGACTGAAAAACTGATCTAAAAACAGCCAATCTAAACTAAGCGGCATTGCATCAGTCAAAAGCAACATAGAGCCTGGTACATGTGTACATCAGCTAAATTTGTCATACCCCATTGCATAGCGAGATGAAATTGTCAGGGTAAATCCCAGAGTAATAGAGGTAGTAACATATTGCTGGTAATAAAAAAGACTAGGCATCGAAGATAAGGTTAGAAAATGTACAAACTAGTGCGACAAAAAGAAAAGTCATGAATTTAGATACAGGCTTTAAGGGAAGACAGTGAATGCACGCTCACCGTTGCGGACGGTTCAGATCAGTGTCATTCAAAGTCTCTAACCATTCGTTACGATAATCACCCTGACCACAACCACATAGTCTGCATCTATTTACAATGTCCAGTTCAACAGTAATTGATTTCATGGAATGATCCCAAGTCATCGTTTTACAGTCTCAAGTTTCCTCCTAACCCACTCATCATACACCTGGAAACATCGTCCATCGAAGTAGGCAGTGTTTGAATAACTATAATGCATGTAACACCTACTTCAATTGATTATTATTTGCTACCTCATCAACCGATTTGTCACCTTTATCTTGTATCCATAACCTCAGCAATGCTTCGAGAGCATCTATAAGCATAAAATAATAACCTACGAATATAATATATTTTTAAATGCCATGTTTCACAACCACAAAGTAAGGTGGAGTGGACTACTGTACATTAAGCTTGTCCTTTAGTTGGGAAGTTGATATCTCGCTTACACTACAAGTTATGTAAATTGACAAAAACCAGTCTAAATTTCTGAATCCGTGACTAGATTTCGTCAGACGCCAACCCATATGAACTGATGAGACTTCCAAGATAAGTGAAATAATCAACAAACTCAACTACTTCATTGATTATCACCGGTTTAGATGCTGATGCGGAAAGGTTCTGAAGCAATATTTTGCATTTAGAAGGAGAGAAACGCATTCTAAACATCCTTGCAACGTTGCTTAAGACGATCAGAAAACTACACTTATCCAGGGTCTTCAATAAACAAAAATATACCATTTGTGTATTCTAAGTTGACAAGAGAATCTCATAGTAGAAAATTGATTCCTGATAAGTCAGATGATAAGAATATTATTTCTAAATGAATGTCTATGATAACACGTTTACAGTAACGATAAACGAGAAATATTACTAATTAAAGAAAAGAGATACGATTTGCAAAGATTGATTTATTAAATATGAGAACAAAATTGAAATGGAGAACTCTTGCTTTTAGGGAATCTTGGACTCTAATGCCATTTTTGCTCGAATAAATGCTGAAACAAATGCACCCAATTGTAATCTTTCTGATGCTCCTTGTGACATACGATTTTCTATATCGGATAACGCAATTAATAAATCACAGCGTATTGCATCCGGCAAATCAACTAAATATCAATTGAGAAAATAATTGAAAAGTAAACAGAAATCCTACTACAATGAAATGTTGAATAGATATTGCCAGAAAAATTAAATGTTCATGATACCAATATAACTTAAATGAAGAAATCAGATGGATGCCGAATAGGTTAGGTGATAACATATTGATGTTTGAAGAGATAGGTACCCAATTCCAGTCTCGATGTGAATATGTACATACAACTGGTGAGTCTCAGCTAAGACAAGATGTCTGTTAACCAAATAGCAAATATACTAAAGCTTGTAACTAAAGGCTATATCAAGTAAATCCGCCTAGGATGTGCATATGATTTGAGAGTTTGATAGCGATTGCAGTTGTGAATATCAACAAACGGGCAATAAAAATTTTAAGTTTAACACTGTAGCCGTAATGAGTAAAATGTTCTGTCAACTAGAATTGTTGACGTTTTTGTAATAACAATTAGGAATACTTGACTGTACATGATTTTCATTGGGATAGGTTAATCTTCGCCAATAATTATAGCGCTTTATTGATTATTACAGATGGAGCTAACATATAGGATTTATCAAAAAGATATGGTTAGATAACCAATTAAATCCGGATTATATTAACAAGGATTACAAATATTCAAAAGAAATGTTATGTTGACATTTTTAGTTGGCTACGCTCTAATCGGTAAATCCTGTTAATCACTGGCAAAGACTAACCGAATACACTTCCGGTTAAAAATGCAATATGGTAACATTAGTTAACAGATATTTGTTCCAGGTTCTGCTCTACGGTAATAATGATTGACTGATTTCTAGTCAAGAAGAATATACAAGCTAAAGGGATTACATCAGATTATTGACAATTTTTTACGAGGGAGAAACTGATTTATTTTCTAATTTGGTGAAAATATCAGATATTGAGTGATTGGAGCCAAGTCCCAAGAAGCATTTTTCCTAAATTTGGCGTCATTTAGCACTCCTCACTCATCAGTCAGTGATACGTATTCCGCAACCTATAGGTCATTGATGTCTTTTTTGTGCAGTTTAAGCCTGCATTCAATGATTAATTTGGTGCTACTAGGGCAATGGTTGACGACATACCGATTATGGTAAGCCGTGACTGGTCGACAAGAAATATCTGGTTATACTAAACATAAAAAACCATCTTATACGTAAAACTGACTTCACCTGGTCCCACTCTGCATCCATTTGCTAACTGATTTGTATTGCAACAAAAGGCTGTTGTTCTGGACTATATCTGGTTCTCGATTGCTAGTTGGATAATTTAGTCTCGTGTATCACGTGACCGAGTATTGTGATTTAATAATCTATCGACCTAGTACCCCTTTTGGTGTTTAATTCTACTTATCAAGTATGCATTGTGGAACCGCATCAAACGCTAGGATCGCGATTCCAAACGTTTTTATTTTTTCGTTCTAATAGTTTGCAAATGGACCAGTATTAAGTAGTTGTGTAGTATGTGCTACTGATGTCAACAGATATAAGTAGTATGTATCATCAATCGAAAGTTAGATATCTAGAAGCAGAAGGACAAGAAGATCGAAGAAAAAAGAACGAAAAACAGAATGATTGGTCTGGAAACAAAAGAAGTCTGAGACGATTGATTGATATTTTGCAAATGAAATATTTACTGTATAGTGCTCAGATTTTACCAAGAGATTCTGTAATTTTGTGTCGAGATACATTTCATTGTCCCCACTATCTTTGTTTATTTAAAAACATAAACATTGGTACAAGGAGGCGCCAAATAGATATGCGCCACATAAATCATTCGATTCTGTAGTCATTGTGATCTGTCATCAAAAGCACTCGTAACCCAACTGTATTTTGAGATACCTAAAACAGAATTCTCTTCATTTTATAAGTAAGAGGTAAGTTACATGACGTTATCGACATGATATATGGAGCTTGGCGTTTAAAGGACGAAACTAACCAGGTATTCTAACATATAAATATTATCCTTGTATTATATCCAACTTGAATTTTGTAATAGTTAAGATAGTAATGTTAACTGAAAATGTATTGTATTTCATATACTACACTATACTGTACACACATGACTTAGTTAAAAAGTTAAAGATTGTTGGGGGGGGTAAAGATATTTGGTTACTAGACAATATAATTTAATATAAAAAATAACAAAGAAACTTACTACGCATTATCAATGGATGAATTTCTGTAATTATATCTTGCAATGCAATTCCTTTCAAATTTTTTACTGTTGTAATATCTAAAAATATATGAATATGATATAATATAATATGAATGTTTGCTCTTAGGAAGTTATTTGTACTTTAGAACAAAAGTGATCATTAACTTAAAGTATAATTGATCATATTCAATCCAAAGTAATGTGTAAACATATCTGAACGTGTTCGTTACTCGCTACAAGAATACGAAGAATTGGTAGTCCCGAAGTCATAGATACAGAATTGGACCTCTTAAAGGAGATACTTCTAAAAAAAGCAGGTATCCTTCGATATTCATTGATAAGAATATAAAACCGAAAACACAAATAATTACAGTAGAAAAGAAAACTTTATGCATGAACATCGAATTCAAGGGTGACAGAGAGACACATACATCTGAAAGAGAATTTCGAATTCTTTAAAAAGAACATCCTTCGCAGCGACATTGTGAATAGTATTCTCCAGTCGATCATTGTTCACCAATAATCTTAAAGATAAATTATTGCATCTGATCAACTCAATGGGCGTTTACCAATTTACTTGCTCATATGGAGCTAGGTATATAGGTCGTTCGATGTATACTTTATCGAAAAAGAATTCAAGAACATTATCCGGCATGGCTAAAAAGAGGAGGAAGCGGCTAAATAAGAAGTTCAATAACCGAACACCTTATGAACACAGGTCACTCAATCAAGACAGACTTTGTGTTCAGTCATCCGCAAGGTAAGTAGAAGTCTTCTAAAGACAATTAGATTGCATCTTCTTTGCATTGCTGAAGCAATATTCATACATCTGGAAAAACCCGAGTTGTGTGTACAAAAGAGACTGGTACAACCTCTTCTTCTACCATGGTCTTAATGTTTCATAATTTTTCTCTCTCTTCATACTCTGCTTCCTTTACAACGATCTGTTTCACTTACCATGTTCCCCTTAAATCTTCTACCCCCCCCCAACTGGTTTATTTGTTTCTACGATCATCCTGATTACATATAATCCTGCAGTTTTGTTCTCTGAGATGGAAAAGAACTCCATCGAAATCATTCAACTGAGCTATAAATCTTCTCCATCACCTCAAAATCATACATTTAATCTCAATTTTAACATTTTATCTTATCATGCTGAGCTATCCTTTCCCAATGATAATTTCCCTGTCTATCATTTGATGAATACTTAAGCCATTATCAATCGAACGATTACTAAACTTTCCTTGTTTTCTAAAAGAATTTTTTAAATAACTTTGTTTATTTAACCTCACTGTCAACATGTATAACAGAAGTCTATTATCAGTACTATTATCATCCTGTAAAAATAAGTATATATATTTGCGATTGTACAGTTTTGAAGATGAATTTGCCGGAAAGAGAAATCTTCGCTGAACTAATCTTTCTTATTTAAACGTAATCTGTTAGATTTTCTTCTTGTTGAAATTGATATAATTTGATAACTGATTAGTGGCTTATTGATTAGGGCGCTTAACTTTCAACCATTAGGTTGTACGTAGGCGTCACATTGCACCTCTTTCGGTTCGGGCAGTTGGATAAGATCACTAATCCTTATATATATGATGTGACTCAAAGTGAATTACGTGAATCTGAACTTGATAAGATGCATCAATGGCTGAGTATATGTTCATGTAATACCAGGCTTTACGTCACACTTATTATGGGGATAATAAAACATGTTAGCATAATATATCACCAAACTATCCTCGATATTATTTGATTTTATCGAATCCTGTAAAGAAGCCATTCAAAAGATGCAACTGAGAAAATGGGAAAGATGTTAACTAAAATCCTAAGGAAGAAGAAAAATGAGTTTATTATTAACTGTCACCTCTATGAACACCTTAGACTATCGTATTCCTGTACGGCCTCGCAAAAGTTCATAAGAAAAATATGCCCCTATGTCCTATACCTGATATGAGTTATTCTCTACATCATTTGATTATTAAATGGTTAGCTGAGATTTTGAAACCCGGCAAAAATCACATTAAAGGGTACAACTCTTCTGATTCAATTGATTTTGTCGACGTAATTAGAAATATCAATGCAAATGATAGAAAACAGATCTTATTGAATGTCACTTCTCTCCTTACAAATGTTCCACTCACAGAAACTATATGTTTTTTATGCGACTATATTGAAAATAACAACTTTGAAATTTGTGTCCCAAAACATATTTCTACGATGTAGTCTCAATGAGAAATTTAGACTTGATAATGATTTCCATAGACAAACTGATGGAGTTGCGATGGGTTCACCATTGGGTCTTCTCTTAGCTGATTGTTTCATGGACAATATCGAAAATGAGGTAATTCGACCAATAATTGATATTTCATTTATGTAAGAGATATACGGAAGATATAGACCACAATGATATTTACGATTGGTTTAATATTTGTCATCACTCAATTGAATTCACACTGGAACCAGAGGCGAACGAGAAATTTCATTATCTTGGTGTACGGTTAGAAATAAGGTCAGATGGTTTTTACAGAGACCTATGTATAAAAAACCGACCTGCAATGTTCGGTATACGAAAATTCATGGCTGGGCCCCCTTGAATAGGAAGAGAAAATTAATTCACTCTTTACCCTCTATGATTAAGCAAATATGTTCTAATGGCACCATAGACGATGAACTACTTCAACTTCGACAGACACTCATCAGAAATGGTTATCCACGTAGATTTGCCGAGAGGAAGTTAACACCTACACAACATCCGGAAAAAGCACCAGCAGTTCAGAAGAAAACTCTGTATGTACAAGTGGATTTCAAAGTCCCTGAAAAAAAACCTTCTGCTCAGTCCTTCATTGTTTTCTCAAGCCGGCCTACTATTCATGTATGTGTTAAGGATTAACTTCTATTTTGAGCCACATCGATGTGCATCTATGAATTTACTTGACTACGTTAACTGAAGTGGCTGCGAAACATTACACATGAATGGGAAATACTAGTATACTAGCTACAGTATCGAAGTTTTTGAGTGATAAGACACTAATGTGTTGGATCTTGGACAGCTGGTTTTCGTAGTATAGGGGAATTTTCTATCTTAACAATTTGTTTTCACTGATTTCGTCGACTGCTATGTTTAGTTATTTAGTTACATCTTGGATTATTTTCGCATTTTATTTACGACTAATTTGGAATTTTCATCTATTTGATGTTGATATAAGAAGCATTGAGTTTCCTGTTTTGAGTATGACATATGTTCAACATAGACAGATTTTTACTCGTGATATTGAGATAGAGGGACTTTTGGATATTTGTAACTACTACACAAAATCATAAATGATCAAATGCAATAAACATTGATACGGTTATCGAGGTAACTTACTGTGATAAGCAGTACTGATCGGTTCATTCAGTACATGATCCAATAGCGATCGAACCTCAGCCGGTGAAGGATATGCAACACAAGCATAGACAGAAGTTCCGTCGACAGTTTTTGAAGACATAGATGTACTCTTCATGGATTGGAGATAAATGATGAACATAAGGAATATTTGAGTCAAATAAACCATGATAAGAATATATTACAAGAAATCTCTACAAAAATATCTGTATTTTGTAATAAGTAGTTGGTACGCCAGTTCGAAATATCTTATAGTGGCCCGATATCTGATTCTGATTTGGGCGAGCAAATCAATAAGCCATGAATATTAATCTCCGATTTAATTCTCTATATTATACATAGGCTAATACCGTTTGAACGACGGGGTACTATGAAGTTGAACACGGATTAAGTTGGATGAATTTATTTCAGACATTTATTTACTACAACATACGTTAAGATAAGACGTAGGAAAGAGAAGCAGAGAAGACAAGTGTGCCAACTTTTGCTACTCATTACAAATCGTAATATAGCTTAAACCAGAAAATGCGTAGTATGACAAAAGACATTGAATAAAATGGATGACGGACAAACACGGGACGCATAGGCGTATAACTACAAGGATATCAATATAAGACTTATGTATGCTGAAGGTCACAACTTCCTATGAAAAGAATAGTTATTATGACAGTAATAATGACTCAGCAGTCCCATTTCATCTAGTAGTGTGCTAAGCCTTCGATTTCATTGGTTATGATTCTAGAGGCTTCTATTCTGTGAATTGGTTGCCAACACACTAAATGGGAGATAAAAGGTGTGGTTATCGTGACGCTGGACGGTGTGATGGAGGATAGTTGAAGTCATTAATACTTTCTAGGTTCGCTAAGACTATGGATGAAATACTACAGACCCTGTAGCTCAGCAATAGTAACATTATTATGAATATAACCAAAAAATAAGCATAAATTATTTTTCGGATGTGAGATGGATGACTTAGTTGTGAAGATTTCGTTATTCCACAAACCTACACCTCAAAGTATAAGTTAAAGTACGCCACTCTGAATCAAACCACTCGAAGATAATACGTAACTGTGCAAAACCAAAGGAGATGAGGGGAAGTTTAGGCATATGATCTTACAGCTTAAATCTGATTGGTTTAATTATTGAACTACTACTTTATTATAAAACTTAGTGTTTGTGAAAGCTACCAGTCATGGTGATACAGTTGAGATTTTACATTTTGCTCTCCATAGACGGTCAAACGTAGTCAATACAACTTAGATCAGCTAAGTCCATATCTGAACTACACACTTATGATTACAAGTTTTGTTTTTTAAATGACTCTCCTATGTTCCTTCACAATATGGTAATTTGTTTCTTATGATAAATTTCTGAATGCTTTGTAGTACTAATTTTAGTGTTAGAAATAAGTGACTAACCGTATCCTACCAGTATAAAAGTTAATTCAATTATGTAATTAAATTAAAATCGATGAAGTTGATAACAGGAAATTAAAATTTTTCGCAGTATCACTCAGAGTTGATATGTTGGACCGGGAAGCCATAGTCAACTTAGAACCTGACATGTGTACATCGGTTTAATTTTCCATACCCCATAAGCACAGAGAGATGAATTCCAAAGTAGTAGAACTAGTAGCAGTACTGGTAGAGAAAGATAATTATAAAGAATTAAAAGAAGTATACAATTTCGGGACTCAGGATCTTGGACACACGCCATTGCGAACGACTCAGATCAGTGTCATTCAAAGTCTCTAACCATTCGTTACGATAATCACCCTGACCACAACCACATAGTCTGCATCTATTTACAATGTCCAGTTCAACAGTAATTGATTTCATGGAGTGATCCCAAGTCATCGTTTTACAGTCTCAATTTTTCTCCTAACCCACTCATACACCTGGAAACATCGTCCATCGAAGTAGGCAATGTTAGAATAACTATAATGCATGTAACACCCATTTCAATTGATTATTATTTACTACCTCACCAGCCGATTTGTCACCTCTATCTTGCACCTTGTTCCTAAACTCAGCAATATCCACTTATTGGTCCCAAAATACGATAGCGATACTTTGGACACATCTATGATTATATACTAGTAACCTGTGAATACACTATGTTTTTAAACGCCATATTTTAGTCATAAAGTAGAACAGACTGAACTCCTTCCACACTGGATGACGGGCAATTCACCCGTGCTACATTATTATTATTATTTCAACACATATCGGTACAAGAGGGCACCAAATGTATATGCGCCACACCATATTTGTGTGTGTGGGCTGTGATACCGCCCGGGTGCCCAGACCGAAGCAGGTGGTTTTCTTAGGGGGCCACACCCCGAGCCTTTGACCTAAGGGTCTGATCCACAAGGCAGTGGAACATCGTGAGGAGATGCATTCCCATGGTAGCCGGTGACCAGCGATTGGTTCATACGCCATTTGTTCCCGCAGGATACCGGAGCCCATGTGCACCAACCTGTGCTACAAGTAATGGAAGTAAGAAAAGTCCAACGAGTTTTTGAAATTTATGCCCAACTTTCGTCAAACACCAACTTAGTGTGGCTGGTGAAACTCACAAGGTGATTGAGGTGCTTGACACACTCAACTACGTTACTCTCTATCATTAGTTTAGGTGTATACGCACACCAGTTCTGAGGCAATAGATCATTTTCGAAGATAACGCTTAAATGTCCTCACATTGTTGATCGAGACAATCAGAAGACTGTATTTCTTCGTTGTCTTCACACAGAAAATAACGTTAGTGCTCTATAAACCTGAGGGGGTTCGGTAAAACTATAATTTATGGACGAACCAATCAGTTTTAGAATAAAAAGGTTTTGGATTTTGGCGCGAAAGTCATCCATTCATTTGGTTAGACAGCATTTTGGCATTTAAGTTATCAGTTCGTGATGGAAATCCCAAACGTAATTCCTGACCCTTACAATCAACTGCAAATTATAAGCTCTGGTAAGTAGGCGAACATTCCCAAAGCCACTTCAGCGTCGCTCAAATGTCGTCCATGAACTACAATCTCACAGGAAGTTCTACAGCAGCGTCTTCCTCTAGTTGTTTGATTTCTTTGAATGCAATCTAAGCAGCACAAAAAGATATCACTGGTGGGATTTTTATGTAACACAATAGTTAAGTCTGGTTTATGATAAAAACATTACACTCTCTAGGTGATTTCAGTATGACATAAATAACGGAAAAGCTACTACGTGTGAATGAAGATACATCCAGGGTCAATCTGAAATTTGGTACTTATCTTTCGCTATGTATTTAACTAAAAAAACAACTGGGAACGTATTTATACATAGATTACCTGCAATAAGTTGATAGATTTACGCATATCCCCAGATGCAAACTGATAAATTGCTTTTACTCCATCGTCTGTTAAATCGACGCTAAACAGGAATAAGAGAGACTTTTGTTTACCCTTCATTTGATGCAATTTTTCGAAGACACACACTGACATCATTGAAGGGCAGTGGTGCAAAACGGAACCTGGTGCACCGTGATTGGATTGCAGGGATAATTTTCGACAAGTAGTTACAAATTAAACAAAATCGGGTGTTTTCCGTAAATTTTTCGATAACTAAAACATATGCGAAAACACAGAGTTACTTCTTCGAAGTGCATTCTGAGCGTCTTTTGTCATGGAATCAGCTTCGTCTAAAATAACCAGCTTGAATTTCCCACTGGAGAACTTGTGCAAAAATGTATATCTTACGCGAAGAGAGTTTTCGTGCTGGCGAAACTCAGTACTTGTTCACGAACAACATCAATCCCCCGATCATCCGAGGCATTAAGCTACAACTATGTTATAAATCTAAACACGTACCTCCAAAACCATGGATGCAAACTGACGAGAGTACAAACGCTTTGCGGCAGCTAGGATAGTGCTAGTTTTTCCCGTTCCCGGTGGACCATAAAACAGTAAATGTGGTAGCCTGTCATTATCAATAAATCTCTTTACTACAACAGCAGTTGAATTTAATAAGAAATACTAGTTTTTGATATGTCATTGTGACTTATAAGATCTTCTATCGAGCTCGGCCTATATTTCTCAATCCTGAAACAGAACTCCAGTTTTATCTACAAAATACCAAGGTATTTCCATTGCAACCCGCTAGGATTTCAAAAATACACAGTGGCGCACAACCTTTGATGGTGGTACGATAAAAGTTGTCGCAACCTCAATTCTAAACTTCCCACTTTGTTCAGCAGAATCAGAGGGGTGACCATATACTGGCATTCCGTATCTTTAATTATGATTTGGGTGCTAATATGTCTTATCTTTTTGCTACCTCCATCACTAATAATCTTCGAGGTCATAGCAAGAATGTTCACAAACAGCGATCCAACAAACTTGCAGTGGGGCCCTGTTTTTCTCACCGAGTAGTCAGTGACTGGAACGCATTACCCGAACAAGTGGTATCAGGCCCATCAGTGAATATCTTCATGGAGAAGCTGGACCTTCACTGTGATGATGTCACAGGTATTCAGTGTTTGACAACGCTTCTACCAGTAACACCTTCTAATGTATTTCGTTCCCACCCAGAGAAATCAAAAGACAGAGTCGAGGAGATCGGAAGAGTATATTTGGCGATGACCAATATATCGGAATTCTCTGATCTAATCTGGCTAGCGATTGCGGTTGATGTTGAGCACGGCGTTACCACACGTGATCTGGTGCGGATGCCTGACCGAGCGCCTTCAGCTAGATGAGTCCACTAAAACATATGGTCAGCATCCAATGTCGAAAACTTAGTGCTATTTATTTTGGGGATTTATTTACCGCTACAGATCACTCCCCCCTAGTGGGGCAGTGACGACCCTAAGACGTGGCCAGCCAGAAGTTTAAACCCAACGAGTTTGTCGTTGGTAAACACTCTTCTGATAGCTTACTAAGTGTAGCAGCGTCTGGTCGTCTTTCCTTACTATATGGGACCGAGGTACAACATAGTGAAAAAAGAAAAAGTTACAACGAAAATTTCGACTCCTCGTAAACTGCATCGTTCTTTTCCAGCCGTCCTGGAAAAGAAAAAAGAATATGTAAGTGCATGTCGAAATACACTCGTATGTGCGTAAAAACACAATGTCGGCGAAAAAATGGAAAATAAACTCAAGCACACGTAATAGCGTTAAAAAATAATTTTGTTTTTTTTGTGTTTTTTTAAAAATAAAAATATAAACATATAGGCATATTAAAATTGTTTTGTTTAAAAAAAATTATATATCGTAAAAAGAAAGATCGAGATAATATAAAACGTCGAGTAGTGCTTTACGTGCAGTAGTCGTTTAAATGTTCTGGAAATCTTACTCTTCTTCCAGAACGCGTCGTTTTAGGTTTATTTTCAGATACATTCGGAGTATCGTCGCTAGTGTTGGTTGTCGGTTGGGGAATTATGAGTGTAGGAGTCGTGCTGTGCGATTGTAACGAAGGAAAGTCGACGTGAATAGGATTTCCTTCTAAATACGCTGCTTTTAAGCGATCGATGCTGATGCTATCGTTTGTTCCGTTCTTATCGACTATATAGTACTTAGATTCACGTTGAAGAACTTTGAAAGGTCCTTCGTATGCTGATTCGAATGGTCGTCGATGCGAGTCTCGACGAACGAAAACGTGTGTACTATATCGTAAGTCAGGTTGAACGAAAACATCAGTTGATTGAGGTCGAGTGGAAGCAGGTTTAACTGAACGCATTGCGTTTGTAAGCCTGTTCGTGTAGGAGGTTAGATCCATGTTCATTGAAGAGGACGAAGGATCCACGAATTCTCCTGGAAGTCGAAGTGTCGTTCCATAAACGAGTTGAGCCGCAGTGTATCCAATGTCAGCTTTCACTGCATTGCGGATACCTAGTAAGACGAGTGGAAGAGCGTCGGTCCACTGTGAAACGTTTGCAGCTGATAGTGAAGCTTTTAGTTGTCGGTGAAAACGTTCTACCAACCCGTTTGCTTGTGGGTGGTAGGCGGTCGTTCGGAAGCGAGTGATTCCTAAAAGTGTGGTCAGACGACGGAAAAGATCAGATTCAAACTGACGTCCGCGGTCTGTAGTGATGGTTGAAGGGCAGCCGAAGTTTGCTACCCATCGTTCGACGAAGGTGCGGGCCACTGTTTCAGCAGTGATGTCCTTGATAGGTACTGCTTCTGGCCATCGAGTGAAACGGTCTACGCAGGTTAAGAGGTAAGAGTATCCATTTGAATCTGGTAAAGGTCCTACCAAATCCAGATGAACATGGTCGAAACGAGCATCGGGAGTTTTAAACGAGCCTAAGGGACATTTATTGTGTCTGATAACCTTAGATTTTTGGCAGCTTACACAGGAGCGTGCCCACTCCCTCACGTCTTTATTCATGCCAGGCCAGCAAAATCGTTCTGCTATAAGCTTGATGGTTGCACGAACACCTGGATGAGAAAGTTTGTGCAATGTATTGAAGACATTGCGTCGATAATGTTTCGGCACGATTGGGCGATCCCTACCTGTAGATGTGTCACAAAGTAAGGTTTCCTTACCTGTTCCCATCTGTTTGATGCGTAGTTTAAGTGTTGTGGACGATAACTCGTGCTGAAGATCAGTGTCTTCTTTTTGAAGCTCGGCGAGTTTAAGAAGGTCGATTCCTTGGAAACTGTTCAAGGAAGTTATGCGAGATAAAGCGTCTGCAACTACATTGTTTGCTCCAGAAATATGTTGAATATCTGAAGTAAACTGCGAAATGTAGTCCAGTTGTCGAGACTCACGGGGAGAGTACTTGTCAGAAGGAGAGCTTAACGAGAAAGTGAGCGGTTTATGGTCCGTGAAAAGAGTGAATTCACGGCCTTCGATATAGTGTTGGAAATGCCGTACAGCACAATACATAGCTAGGAGTTCCCTACCGAATGTGCTGTACCTCGATTCGGTGTCTAGCAACCTTCTAGAGAAAAATGCCAAGGGTTGCCAGGAGTTGTTAACCCATTGTTGTAAGACTCCTCCGATTGCCGAGTCGGATGCGTCTACTGCGATGCTAATGGGTGCTTCGGTGTCCTGATGTGCGAGCATTGTTGCTTTAGCGATCAGTTCCTTAACTGTGGAGAATGCTTTTCGTGCGGTGTCGTCCAAATTAATGGATTTCGCATTTCCACGAAGTTGGTCGGTCAGAGGTTTCATAAGTAATGCGCATTTCGGTATGAAACGTCTATAGAAACTTACCAGGCCGTTGAACGTGCGTAATTGCTTGACGGTGGTCGGTTCTGGGTAATCCAGAATGGCCGCCACTTTGGTTCTAAGGGGTCGGATACCTTGAGCATCGATAGTGTGTCCCAGAAAGTCTAATGAGTCGGTTCCGAATTGGCATTTCTGAACGTTTACAGTTATGCCATGTTTTTGTAATCGTTCGAAAACAAGATCCAGATGCTTGAGATGTGTTTCTCTGTCCGGACTTGCGATTAGACAGTCGTCAACATACGCGTGTACGAAGTTGAGACCTCGAAAAACGTCGTCTATGAATCTTTGGAATGTTTGAGCAGCGTTCCTTAGACCGAAAGGCATTCGCAAAAATTCATAGAGTCCGAAGGGAGTTATGATAGCCGTTTTCGGTATGTCGTCAGTAGCCATAGGGATTTGGTTATACGCTTTAACCAAGTCGATTTTCGAAAAGACAGTTGTACCTTTCAAGGTAGCTGTCAAATCGTGAATGTGAGGCAACGGGTAACGATCGGGAATGGTTTTCGCGTTCAATCGCCGATAGTCACCAGTTGGACGCCAATCGTTGCTGTCCTTTTTAGGGACCATGTGCAACGGAGATGCATATGGGCTACTTGACGGTCGTATGATTCCTAAGTCCATCATGTGATCGAATTCGTTTTTCGCTAACCTTAGCTTTTCAGGAGCTAGTCGTCGTGCTTTAGAAAATACAGGTGGTCCTGTAGTCGTGATGTGATGTGTAACATTGCTGGTTACACACGGTAGTTTCGGTTGCGTTTGTTGTATCCCAGGGTACTTATCGAGTAGTGGTTGATAGAGTGGGTCTATCATATGCTTAACTGTGACTGGGGATACTCTACAACCAGTAAAAGAAGTTACGCAAACGGACAAATTAGTGTTTCCGTCTACTAGCCTCCGTTTGCGAGTGTCGATGATCAGATTGTGGTGTTGTAGAAGGTCCATACCAATGATTGGCATAGAAACATCTGCAACAACGAAAATCCAGTGGATGGGTTTGCGTAAACCCACGTTAAGGTAAACGTACCTTTTGCCATACGTAGCGATCGGTTTTCCGTTTGCCGCCTGTAAGTTTAGAGTCGATTCGTGAAGTCGGTCGTTAGGATTTGCTGGGAGAACGCTAACTTCTGCGCCAGTGTCGACGAGGTAGCGAACTCTCGTTGTCACATCTGTGACGTATAACAGACGGCTATGTTCGCCGGCTACGGTTGCCGTTAACGCGTGCCGGCTTGGAAGTTTCCCGAATTGTTTTTCGAATCAGTCGGTTTCGTGTTGGGAAAATTGCAGGGTTTTCTGCAATTTCTGGAAAACTTTCCATACTGGTTATGATACCAGCACCAGTCGGGGTTATCTGTCTCTCGTGGTCTAGAGACAGATCGCTTACGAGAAATGCTTCTACGTGGTGTGCGCGATCTCTTACGGTCGGTACGAAGACTAAGATAACGCGTGAGTGTGTGACATAAGTCGGTTATATCATTCTGAGTCGTGTGAGGCTTTTCTTTGACTGAAAATACCTCGGTAGTAGATTTCGTAATTTCTAGAATGCGGTCGGCAGATGCAGCTAGCTCGTCTAAGGCGTTGTTCTGGAACGAGACCAGAACTGCTTGCACCTGTTGGGGAAGTTTTGACAAGAAGAGTTGTTTGAATAGACCTTCGTCGAAAGTTCTTGGGCCTATAACCTCTCTCATCCGTTGCAACATGTCTGTCGCAGAACCGTGTTGCAGGTCGATGTTATTGAAGAGTTGATCTAACCTTTGTCGATCGGTTAGGTCTCCTCGTTTAAGAATCGAGCGTTTTAAGATTTCGTAAGGATCGGAAACATCACTAGTAAACATACTAGGTGTTACGTACCTGTTGAATTCGCGCGGTAGTGCCTTGACTACTGCGAGGAATTGTGCACGTGTGTCGATCACGCCGTGCTCGGAGAAGTCGGCTTCTGCGTAGCAAAACCAGGCTTCGATGTTGTCGGGCCAGAAAGGCATCAGTTGAAACGAAGGTGGGGACAAGGTCTTAAGCTTGAGTACTTTAGGTGTCTGTTCAGTCATGATGAAATATGAAGT